AGGCAATGTAGTTTCCTGCTGAGGTTTGGAAGTCCTATGGAGAGAGGAGCAGCTGCACTCTGTCAATGTCTACCTTGTTTTACGCTAGCAATGTGTGATGAGGCTTTCCTGAAAAGAGAAGATCTCTGATGCAATTTGCTACTGCATTTCCAAAGAAGCGTGCAGAAATTCCTGGGACTTGGGAACCTGGCCACAAATTGAGACTTGTTTGTGGAAAAACTTGGAAAATCCAGTCGCTTCTACTTTATAGCAGCTATTCTAAAAAAAGATTTATTTTTTCTGATGAAGTTTTGAGAAGAATTCTGTTTTACATACCATAGGTCTCTTTTTTCCCAACAGGTGCTTTCATCTAAGTTCGTTGGCTTTAAAGATATGGCATGGACAGTGGTGGTTGCTGTCACTTACTTAGTTTGTAGCCAAGTTTACAGGACCTCTGAATGCAACAACTTTTAAGTCCTATCCTTGTGGAAGATGATGGGTTGAGATGTCAGAAAATGTTTTGGCAAACCCACATGTAAAATTCATCATTGGTGGTTACCTCTAGCCCTGACATGGATTTAGGACAAGTGACATCCAGCCAGGGTACGAGTTCAAGTGTCAGGATGGACCCGATTTGGCCTGGTTTGAGTGTACAGTATTTCTACTGCCTCAGTAAGCATGGCTCAGAAACAGAGGAGTTAATGGGAGTTGACCAGTACCTGGATTTAGTTCCAAAGCAAAAGAAAGACTATTATTCTGATCTTTCTAAAATGGGAAACAATGGGCACTTCTCATTATGCAATCAAGTGATTTGAGCTCTGTACTTTATCTAAGTATTTTTGTTAATTAGAATATTTACATATATATTTGACTGTTAACAAATCTATGTGCTTACAAGTTCATATTAGCATAATGCATGTGCGTAATGCACTGCTAATGCAAAAAATAAATTTAGCAGCATTTCCATTGTGCATTTTTGAACACAAAACAGATTAGTGACCCTGATCAAGTGTTTTATAAAATTTTGTGTCGAATTTTGGCACCATGTTGGTACTTTTAAAGATGTCTCTAAGAATAATGTTTGTAGAATTTTACAGCATATTTAATTTTGTAAATGTTAAATTGTATATATTTAATTTTGTAAATTGTAAATGTTAAGTGCTCTTGAACTACTTAACATTTTGAATAATCAAATTTTATGAAGTAACAAAATGTACAAAGAATGGCCCTGCCTTCTTTTACAGTATTTCAAAGATGACTAGATGAAATACCGTATATGCTGGTTTTGCCCCTGGATTAGTCTTTTTAAGTGAACCAAAAAAGAACTGGAACAAATCCTCTCAAGTCTTCTTTTAAACCAAGAGACAGATTATATCATGTGATAAATTGGATTATGGATTACGTAAGCTTTTAGTGTCTAAAGACATTAGCCAAGTACGGTAGCCAAGTCCTCCCTTTTCCAAATTGTCCATAGGCCTAAAATAAGAAAAAAATAACCACTCTGCATAACCTTTGTGACCCTGAGATTATTTAACGACGTACAGTATCTGCCCAGGCACGATCATTATGACCTACAGTATATATGCAGTTGTAAGTGATGTAAAACTACATTGACCTGTAATTATTTGACTGCTTCTTATTGGCTCTTACCATAGTGCCTATGACCCAGAGTGAGAGGGCATTAAATCATTTATCATTATTAACAGACGGGTCAAAAGCAACTATCTACAAATTTGGAGGTAAGGTGTTTGAAATACCAAGCCATGGGTTGTATAGCATGTAAGGGATATCAAAATAGCTGCGGGATAGCCACATTAGTTTGTAAATTAATTTGTTTTTGTCTCTTACAGTATGTAACATAAGACAATCTGATGTATTATTTGAAAACTTTTAAACAGAATTTTTGAGATTTGTAATGTTCTAAGCAAAGCATTAGAGCATTTAAATAAATCTCCAACAGGTCATCTGCTTCTTTTATTAAAAGCCACTGCTAAAAGAACCAGCATCAGCTCTAACAAACAACTGCTGTCTTTAAATTGAGTCTTTTTTTATGGCCTGCACAGCTAAGTATTTAACTTTCAGATACAGTATAATTTGTGTTTCTTGGAAAGACTCATGGAAGAGGGTTTGTATTTGCAGTATATCCACACACCACCAGTGCCTATTTGACAGTGTGTTTTTGCCACAAAACATATTGTCACAGAAGTCAGATGGTAAGGAAAGATCCCTAATCTCTGTTTACTTCTGATAAGAAGGAAAGAGCCTCTGCTTTTAAGTGCAGTCATTCCAGCCAGTTAAATCTCCTTTTAAATCCACCTCTCTGTACTAGAAAGCGATTGACTGATACCCAGCATGCTGGACCTGTGTGATGAGATTGTGCATTTTTTTAGTGCTGCATGTGTATAATTCTGTATTGATGGAATCCTGCACTTTCAGATCAAGATTACTGCAATGGGTAGGTAAAGTTAGAGGCTTCTACAAAACCAACATGCAAATAGGAAATGGACAGACCCTCTGCTTACTTCTCAGCTTTCAGAGTTGGACTTTTGTCAATCCTTGATTCTTGGATATTATTGTAAAACTTCCACAAAGATTTATATATAATTGAAAATGCTTTTATGATGCACTTTTTATTAGTTTGAGTGAAGTAGTTATAGAGTTTTCATGTGTAAAAATGTAGCAAAAATGTATGCATTTCTTTTTAAACTTGAGAATAATAAACGAAACACCTATCTCTCCTGTCTAAGTTCAGACAATACAAACATAAAAGTGTTTTAAGAACACCCGTACTTTAAACACACAAGGAAAGCCTGGATTGTAAATTCATTAAATGTTACATAAATTCAATGTAAGGAGGTTATGTGATGCTAGCAACTATACAATGTTATTGCATACAGGCAATAATATTGTTAAAGGAAATGTATTATCCATAATTCACTGTGATTTATATGGATCCTGTAGTTATGACTCAGAGTTGTTGTCTAAATTTGCAATAGGGAAGTAACATGTACATTACTTGTAACATGTACAGTAATAAACATAACATGCAGAATGATATATAGTATGATATTAGTTAATGTATGCTAAAGTATGTATAAAGGGAAAAAGATATACTGTAGGATTAACTGCCTCATTGAAATTATACTAATTTATCATGGGTATTTTTGGAAATAAATATACATAACTCTGAGAATTTTTACCTTCATCCTTGCTAGTTATTTAAAGAAAGGCACCTTTGTCTAAGGGGAAGAGCACTAAAAATTGAAACCAAGAAGCATTTTTAAACAAATTGTTATGGGTGTTTAGAACCAGATACCCAACCATGTTGTTAATACTGGTAAATTAAGTGGTTTTAAGAAACAGATGAAACATATAATTGGAAAAATTAGCTACTAGGAACTAAATAGACTAGATGGCCATAAGTACAGTTACAAACAAGTTTAGGCCACTCTACCACAGGTTTATCTGCCTCATTTAATTGCTGGTACCTTACTGTCTTTGAAAAAAATAGGCCAGGATATCAGCTTCAACAACATGACTGGGTAGCTTTTTCCAGATACCCACTTACCCTTGCACAAAGGACTGCCTACTGTTACAAGATTTAAATGCACTCCAAATAGATTCTATTTGTGTCCAATGGTTTGTATTTATGTTTTAATTCTATGGAAGTCCACTGACGTGACTTTCTCAGTTCATTTGAGAATTTAAAATAGCTATTTAATGTTCCCTTGTCATTTTTCATGTAAAAAATACATGAAAGTTGCCCCGAGTAAAAAGTAATATGTTTCAGTTCCTTCAGCCTTCCAGTTTACATCAATACCCTCCTATTCTTTGTAACCATTTTTATGTACTGTCTACAGTATTATTATGGATAAATAAAGTAAATTCAACCAAAACCAAATACATCTCAACCAAAATGAGCTGCACTGCAAGTTGACAGTTATTTTAGTCTAAAACAGTTTTGATATAAACAGAAATCCTTAAAAGTACATTATTTTCTGTGTGATGTTGGTAAAAGTGACAGAGTCTGGGCCGTTCTCCCCAACATGACAAAATGCTCCAAAAAGCAGGAAGGGAATGAACTTAAGATGACTTTACCAATGATTGGTGGCTGTGGAGTGAACTCAGTGGAATGTTCCTGGTTGTTAAATGTAGATGTGTTTCTTTAATTGTCAGACTGCACAGCTGCAATGTGTCATAGGTCATGGATTCTCAGCTCTCCCAAAGATGTCCAGTTTCTACATAAACCATGTTTATTGTTAAACACTTGGTCAGTGTTATGATATACTTTAAAATAAACCCTGGTCTTTTGGGTCCCATGACATTGAGATACTGTATCTCAGATTGAGATAACTGAAAACCTGCCTTGAGCAAGATGGTTATCATTCTGCAGAGAGGACATAAATAGTGGTGGCACCTACTGTATGCAAGGTGTAAAGTGGTACTGGCACTAACAATGTGGTTTTCTAAATGTATACAATCCAGGAATCTAGGTCAGTTAAGCTATTTAGGTTAGCCAAATTGTGTTATTAATTTTTTTTCCAGTCATTTAAGATTACAATGAAAGGTTTTGATTATTAACATGTTTTTCTTAATTCTAAGCATGATGAATAAATCGGTGTAGTTGTATAAATCAGAGTTTACATAGTACATGAAAGTTTTTATTTGGCTTCTTTGGAAAATCCAGCTGTGTGGTATCCCGTATGTTATTATTGCTATGTACTGTATATCTAGATTGTGACATAAATCAATCTGTTTCTTTTGCATTTAAAGTGCATATTTTAGGTATTCATTTTGAGTGATTATATTAAACGACCATAATGTAATTATATAAATTAGTAAAGCATTATTATTATTAAAAATGTAGAAACGTTCAACATTTTTTGGGGGGATCACTGTGGCATAGCATGCAGAGCTGTTGCCTCACACATCTGATATAATTGGTATGAAGATGATGAGTGTTGCTAAGGGTGTGGAGTATATTTGCTCACTGCCCTGATGTGGCTCCTTGCTTTCTGCAGGTGTGTGCTTCCCATGCCAGGTGGATGTGGTGCCAGTGAAGAATGAGGATGGTGCAGTGATAATGTTCATCCTCAACTTCGAAGTTATGACTGACAATAAACTGCTTCGCTCACCTGACCAAGTACTTAACCACAAAGTGCCGTCCTCCTGGATCAATGCAGGTACAGAAAATTGGAGACAGACTGCCACAGTCTAGTCAGATATTGATATAATTGCATTGATCAGAACTATTTAATTAAAATAATTGCAATCTCTTTCACTGCTGTATGTTGGCAAAACCAATTCCCTCATTGTTAGAATGATTTTACTAATCAGGAACTAATTAGCTACTAACACCAGACACATGGTCAAGCAAGGCCATCTCATGTTAATCTGAATATTACACTCACCAGTTCAAATTCCCAATGTTTTAAACAAAAGGAAATGAAACACATTAAAATGTAAACGTTTCTGATATGTAACTTTCTAAATAATTGTTCAGCTTTGCAGCAACGGTTTTTCAACAACTGAGGACAGCATTGCAAATAAATCATATATGACATACTTTCAGATTTAAAACAAAGATTTGGATTAATATTAAATGTTACACTTATCTTCCACAAACAAATATACAATTATATTCTGTAAAAAACATACTGTATATGCATCTTCGTTGATTATATTAAACTGAATAAACAGGAGAAGCTTTTCCAAATGGTTCTCTACAAACCAAATTCCATTTGGTGAGACATTAATGGGGTTCAATGGAATCTAGCATGATATATTGGAATGTCTGCGGCTGTGTCTGATGAGAAAGAGTTACAATACACTAAAGTCAGCTCAAACTTGTTAGCCAAAAAAAAACAGTTTTTTGACACATCTAAGGTAGAAAAAACAAATCGTGTTCAGATCTCCACCAATTAATATTTTAAATTAGAATTCCTTTTTTAAAACTATTTTTGCTTTTCTTTTCATTTGTTGCTTTCTTTTCTGAAGGAAAAAACAAAATACAACCTCCAATTTAAGTATTTCAAGAACAGAAAGACCTGAGAAGGAGTATATCCCCACATTACTTAACATGTTGATCCTCTGCTAGGATCTGAAGTAGGCTGAGGGTTAAGATCAGAAGTGATTCTGCTTTGTATTGTATACACTAGCGAGACACAGCCATTGACTTTGGATAAAGTGCATTTCTATTCAAGGCCACTGATCAAATGCTTACCTTTGCTACACACTTTGAAGAAAAAAAAAACTTAACCACACACTCTAATTAGCTTTTCAGGCTGTCAGCTGATAAATCAATTTGAAGGGCTTATCTAAGTGCATTAAAGTTTTTCCTTTCAGGGCATTTTTCTTTAGGTTCTTTTGTCAACAAAATATCAAGCAAGTGTAGCAATGCAAACTATTTGTTTGTGCCACACACTGATAAAAAAGCTAGCATACTCTTTTTTTTGTGTAGTGTCTCTTTCTGGAACAGTGTAATATGTTTGATCAGTGGATGTTTTCTCAGAAGCCTGTCAAGGGTGCAGGAGATTCTTTGGAATTCTAGTTACTATTGGAACCATGCTCAGTAAGCACTTTGTTTTGGTGCCCCCCCCCCGTCGATCTCTCTCTGTCACTGTAAGTAGGACGCCCACGAGGGTTCAGGTTGCGGCTACCCCTGTTGCGCTCCCTGGGCACCAGCAAGCAGTCACTGTCCCGGGATGACCCAGAGGCCGTGGTGGTGGACATGTCCAAGCCCAGCAGCGAGCCCCTGGCCCTGGGGGAGCTGCTGTCCTTGCCGGAGCAGAACTGCCTGGGCGGTCCCGAGATGCTATGGCCAGAGGACCAGCGTGCCCTGCTGGATGGCGGGGAAAACCAACCCGTCAATCACTCATCTCCCAGGCCTCAGCGCCTCAACCCTGACGCCTCCTTCTCCAACTGCAGCCTGACGCGCAGCCGGTCCCGCGAGAGCTTCTACAGTGTGCGCCGCGCATCCTCTGTTGATGACATTGAGGCCATGAAGACTGACTTTGATAAGAAGCTCCGCAGCCGCCATGCCAGTACAGGTATGATGCACAGTGTGCAGAGTAACGTAATGATTCATCATCACAGGTAGGGACTGTTCTAAGTAAAACTGAATAGGTATGGACAGTGCAATGATACGTCATCATAGGTAGATACAAAGATATGACATCACAGTTATTGCTTCACATTTACGGACAGTGTAATGATGATATAATGAAACAGGTATGGGGCAGTGAAACCTTTTGTTTAGATAAAGAGTCAGGATAGGAAACCTCTCAAGTTCCAAGGAATGTTTGCAGAGAATTATTGGTATTTTTGTCATTCAACACTGTGTTCAAGAACATAAGAAAGTACATAAAACAAAGCGAGTTAAGAATATTTTTCTGACTCTTTGTAGAGGCTATCACAATGCCTTTCATTTCTAGTTTTGAAAGATTAGCCTTTTTCTGGAAACAGGAATTCAAAAGACTGAATCGTTCAAGAAAATAATGGAATATTTTGATTCACACTTTCCTTTCCCCCTCCCTGTGTGTGCCTCAAAGAGTGAAGGTATGAGAAGGGGAGTGGGAAACATGTAATCTAAAAGAGTGTGATGACAGTCTATCAGAAGAGAGAGGCTAACTGAGAAATTAGTTCACGGATAATTATAACAAATCCTGTATCGTAACTTATGTTTTGTCCTGTGCATATCTCATATACTGCAGATACTTTATTTATTGAGAGGCTATGAGAGGATATTGAGTATACTGTAAGTTAGTTCCCAAGGAACACAGTACAACACCTACAGTACCAGCAGCTCAACTCATATTGATGCTAGCACAGTTAGTTTGGGTTGCTTTCTGAACCCGTATGTTAGGAACCTTCTATTAATTGCTCGTAAGGTGAGGTATGATTTTAAGATAGCATGAAAATTGTCAAATCTCTTTACGGTAATTGTGTCATTCCTGCACAGGTGCAATGAACCACATTAGAACTAACATGCTGAACTCAACCTCTGACTCAGACCTGATACGTTACCGGACCATTAGCAAGATCCCACAGATCACACTCAACTTTGTGGACTTCAAGCCAGAGCCCTTCATTGCCTCACCTTCCTCTGACAAGGAGATCATTGCTCCCTGCAAGCTGAAGGACCGCACACACAACGTCACTGAGAAGGTTACACAGGTATGGCCACAGACCCGGGGTTCTCTAGTCAAGTCCTATTCCTGTGTACTGGAAAAAGGGCTCCTTTGGGGGTTATGAATTGCAGGTCTTTGATCTAAAAGGGGAAGTGTAAGAGTGAAGTCACACCAAGACTACTACAGGGGAGTCTGAGTGAAGCTGCAGGTTTGGTGAGGATTTGTGAAAGAATTACTGTTTTCCAACTTTGATTGCCTCATTGTTTTTGGAAGCCTTGATGATATGCAAATGCCAAATAATCTTCTGCAGACAAGAACTGTTTCATTTTCTTTTGGTCTGATTATGAATTGATGTGGCTTGAGGGCCAAGGGTTGAATTATTATAAGAAATCATTTAAATGTTTGCCTTAACCAGTGATGACCACCTGGGTTTTTCCTCAGTTTCTGTATAAAGATCATTATCAAAATGACAAGATGCTACTGAATCAAATACAATAGTAACCTAAGCACACCTATAATGTACACCTCTGGCATGCATTATAAACAAATTACAATTAATACAAGGGATTAATTCCTCCGACATCTTTATGTGTGTCCCAGAAATGGACTGCATCTACTTTGACTGGCTGTATGCTATACATAGCATGATTTAACAAATTAATTAATATTTGATACATATTGAATTAAAATTGTTTTATGAATATTGGATGATTATTGTTTGGCCTCAATCAAATCTTAGGAACAATGTAGCAAGAAGGTGCAATACATCCTAATGTACTCTATCCACAAGGCCAGGTTCACCTGTTCATGAAAAGACTTTGCACTGTATGTATTATCAGAAGGCAAGTATAATGCTCTGTGGTTGAGTTTATATTAATCAGTCTATTGAAATATCACAACAAATTCACAGTACAAATAACCTGCCCTTCCAAGACTTTAAGGGCATTTACAGAGTGTTTTGGAATTGGTTTTAAGATATGAAAGTCTGTTGTTGTACTTGAATACCCTCTGAGAGTATAGCAGTCTTAGTGGCTTTGTACAAATAATAAAGCCTTTTAATTTAAATTCAAGGAAAAGATAAGATATTTTTTACTTTGAAATTGAGTTTATTAATTTGCTTTGATGGATAATCTGAATAGTTCTAGCTGGTACTTTTACTTTTGGCTTGTGGGGGTATGTTAATCCTGTATGGCTTTTGTATCCATGCTGTGTGATGCTCAGGTTCAGATGCTCACATGATGGTCTTTAGTTAAAATACCATGTACAGTGAAGTAGGTCATACTGTAAGTGTTACAAACAGGAATAGTTACAAAGTTATCTTTTTGTAACCATTTCAATCACCTTGAAAATTAAAGCAGGTCCACCAAAGAAAAACAAAAGATCGACTATTTACTGTACATCAGGAGTAGGAGAATACAAGTATGAATGTTTAATCCACAGTATGAGAGTTACCATTGGGAAAAGATCTGGAGTTTTGTCAACTTCTACTGCAGTTGACAAAAACTTTGTATAAGATATTCCCACTAGAAGCAGTTGGTGGCCTAAAAAATGTAATGCAGAGTAACTACCCATGTTCACGCAACCAACTAAGAATAGTCACCAATTGATCTGATCAAATCTCTTTTCATGGCATCAACTAGGAATTAGACTTGCTAAAATCGGGATGAGAGTCCTGCTGACAAGGTGAGATGTTTATGTTTTATAATGTTTCTTTATACAGGAAAATATGCAGTATCATTTCAACTGAAGCATTTCTCAAAGTGGTTTAGTATTTTACAAAGAACAAGACATTGTGAGCTGTACAGGAGGTGAAATTGTTCAGGGCTGAATGATTGTGATGCTCAAATCTTTATTCAAGGATTACCAAAACTGTCCTGAAATCATATCTGATAGGGGTACTTGCCAATGATTCTCAATTGAGTGTGGTGGATAAGTGGATTCAAATTATATTGCTTAGTTGGAATTGGAGCACTTTGCAGTCAAAGGGGAATTTTTGACTTTCTTGCTCTGAAATCAGCAACCAAAATAATAGATGTTACAATTTACATGATGAAGAACTATTTAATCAAAAATAATGTGCCAATTGAGAAATTGTTGTTAATTACAACTAACGACCCCAGCTAAGACCAGGAAGCACACTGATTTCCTTGCAATTTGCAAATCAGATCCCTACAAGATACATACAGTATCTTGAACTATCATTGTGCTATCCATCAGCAGGCACTTTAAAAGGATGTAATCATGTAATTACCTGTGATTAGAATAGTTGTTGATTTCTATATAGGCTGAAATTTCAAGTAATCTGTAGTAACCCTTTCATCTGATCGTTGGCTGCAAACTGAGATTTTGATGTTTTTCCCCAATAAAAATATGAATAGCAAGAGCTACAGTAGAATGAAGACAATCGCTGACATTTTCAGTGCAGTGAAAAGTTTCAAGTTTAAGTCTGAGCCTCATTGTTCAACAAATGCTGAAAAGATGCTGAAAAGAGTTCACCTTTTTTGAACAAAATACAGATGAAAAGTTAATCTGCAGCTGAGGCCTTGGACACTAATAAGTACAGTGATCTCTCTGTCAAGCCTGCTAAAGAGATTGATTAATACAGGAATTTAATACAGCTGGAGCTCTGTGTGGTATAGATTTCACATACCTTTATGGATGTGGACATTTGTGACATTTCTGAACAGAAGGTGTGTTGTTTAATCACAATGACTATCTGTTTAGATTGTCAGTCTTCAAAATGGCATCTACGGCAATCTGCTTCAGAATTATGGAACATTGTGGATGCAGAGAAGTACAACAACATTAGCAAAACAACCATGAAAGTAGCATCACTGTTTTGTGTACCTGTGCAAATTCGCCTTATCCAACATGACCTTTATCTATAAAACTAGTTGAAGTTCCAAACACATCAGACTGAGAAGCACATGGAAGACTTAATCAGAGTTTACCTATCAGGTGATACTCCAGATTACAACACACTGCTACACAGCATGCAGTATTAAGCCTCTCACAGAAATGAAGATATGCTGTATATTGATGGAAAATAGAAATGCAACAGCTCCTCCTCCACATTCTTGCCCTCCCATCTGCATGGAACAGGCTGAAAAGTGACTCATCTGTGAAGAGGACCTGATGCCACTGCTGATGAGGCCATCATCAGTCAGGTGTGATGTCTAGGAGGTGTGAGCAGAGGGCCTCTAACAGGTCTCCTTGTTCTAAGGCCAGCAGCATGGAGCCTCACTGTCCTGTCGCTGATGGGCATTGTGTCTGCCGGCAGTTTCAGCAACAGTACGCCTGGCAGAAACTATCTCTTAGATGGACAAGTCTGATGTGTTGATCCTGCTCTGGTGTAGTCACTTGAGGGTGACCAGATCCTGGATGGTCATCTGTACTGCCGGTCTTTTGAAACATCACTGCACCTTTCTCAAAACAAAGATCAGTGTGTTTTCCAAGATTAAAACCATGAAGTAAGACTAACAATTACAGGACTCTAATAAAGATACAGTATAAGAAAGATACATTGTCACTATAATGCATCAATGATTGTATATTACGTAGATCCAAAGCTCCTGTTGGGCCAAAATAACATTTGGAGACACAACCAGATATACAAATGGATAGCTGGAAAGGTCAGTGTCAACTGTGCCTGTGATTCATTAGATAATATGTTTTATTCCAGTTGCTTTGGAATTGATCTGATCAAATCTCTTTTCATGGCATCAACTAGGAATTAGACTTGCTAAAATGGAGATGAAAATCCTGCTGACAAGGTGTGATGTTTATGTTTTATAATGTTTCTTTATACAGGAAAATATGCAGTATCATTTAACTTAATAGTTGCCCCTACCACCTTCCAGATTATCAGCATCACCATCTCCAGGTTATAGGTTATTAAATGGAAATACATATTACTATATCTTTATTAGAGTTCTGTCATGAACCCCTGTCACTTCAGCTTCTCCTGTCTTTCAGAGAGCGGAATCGGCTTTTATTTACCAGCTAATCAATGAATCGCTCAATCTGCGTTGCATTTCCAGTATGCCATGTTATTAATACACATACAGAACAATGCAAATTAAACTTTATAAAAATAGTACATTTGAAACAAAGTAAAAAAACAAAACAATGATCAGGTAGCAGAATAGTGAACTGTAATTAATGGAGTGGAGTTAATTGATGTCTATTAACAAATATGTGATCTGCAGGTGTAGTATTCTTATCAATAACAGTAAAAAGGAGAAGAAGGAAACATACAGTCCAGTCCAGTGGAATTTTTGTTTGAGAAGGCTATATTACACTTTAAACAGGAGACCTGTTCCAAGTAGCAGCCTCTGTGAATAAATCAATAGACTGTTTTTCCTCACATGGTTTTGGGCACTATGCCATTACCCAGGCAGTTCTGAGATTGATAGGGATGACGAATTATTCTGTGCTTAGAACTTGTCTTCTTTTAATGGTCGTGTCTTTTTTAATTGTGCCTATTTTGTAACTAAGATTAATTTAGGACTTGTTACGTATATTGTAAATGCCATAGCATATGAAGGCGACAAATAAAACATTTTGTTGCAAACAAAAGGTCACAACTTGTCTATAAGCTTACAGGTGTAGCATTAAAAAATAGTGCAGTGTACTGTATCCTAGTGAGCTATTCTCCACCAGGCTCCTCATTTTAATGGGAAAAATTGTTTTACTAGAATAAAAAAAAACATTTAATAAAAATAAAATGTTAAACATAATTAGATAAGTCTCTGCCCCCCAGAGTTAATTCTGGGAGAAGCTATTTTGGCAGTAATGACAGATGCCATGGCCCCCTGAGCACCGAGCACCTTCGTCACGCCCCCCTGTTCATCTACCAGACCAGTTCTTCGTCTCCTACCAGTGTCTGTTCACTCCCTCCCAGATTGTGCTGTCTGCATAGGGTCCTGAAAAACGCTTCCTGACAGTTAGCATTGACGTACAGTGATCTTCCAGTCTTGACACATTTCTTCATGGGTTATAAGGTGAGGCTCTGACTGGGCCACTCAAGGACATTTAACCTTTTGT